GGTTTTGGTTTTTCTCTCTGTATCCCTGGCTGTTCTGGAACTCACTCTGTAGACCAGGCTGGCCTTGAACTCAGAGATCCACCTGCCTCTGCCTCCAGAGTGCTGGGTTTCAAGGTGTGCACCACCACTGCCCAGCACAAGTTTTGATAAAAGGGAATCCATGCCTGTTCCATTTCCAGAGGATATTTGACAAATTACGGACTGAGATCATTGTAATGGTTGTGAAGGGGTGGTAGGGCTTCCTCAGGGTGGACCTCAGTCCCTCCCTATCCAGCCTCTAGAGGCTAGCCCACATTCCAGTCTACCCACACAGAGAAGAGTGAGGTCACGGTGGAGCAGCTGGGAGTGTATGTTGTTTGGCTGTGGGACTGCAGGGCCAATCCCTCAGTGTCCTGATCAATTTCAGTTTGAAGAAGTCTGCAAGAACAGCCACCATCTAAATGCTTCCTTTAGGGCTGGAAAGTCATGGAAAGGAACTCTCAGGACAGTCACAGCAGAATGGCTGCTGGAAAACCAGAGCACAGGACAGGTCCTTAACCAGCTTGAAGGATCCAGCTCAGGCGGCAAATTAGCTTTTACTATTGCTAAAATCTGTAGGTTCAGACACTCGGATCTTTTTTTCTTTTCTTTTTAGACAAGGTCTCACTACATAGTCCTGGTCTGGCTTGGAACTCGCTATGTAGACCAAGCTGGCCTGAAACTCAAAAATCCACCTCCTGAATGCTGGGAATTAAAGGAACCACCACAACTCAGCCGACAGCTGGCATCCTTTAAAATGAATTAAGATTAAATATATCAGAAGGCACTGTGCTTTACAAGCATAAAGCATTATTTTATAATTTTGTTTGTTTTACATGTGTCCCTAATATATATATTTATTGCTGTAGGTACTGGTACAGAAGATTAAAATATAGAAATAAGATAGCTATAATTGTGCGTGCCTTTAATCCCAGCACTGGGGAGGCCGAGGTAGGAGGATCTATGAGTTCAAGACCAGCCTGGTCTGTAGATGGAGTTCCAGGCCAACTGAGGCTACATAGTCAGACTGTGTCTCAAAAAAGAAAGAAAGGAAAAAAGAAAGAAAAGAAAAGGACTCAGAAGGGGCTGGAGATATAGCTCAGTGGGTCGAGTCCTTGCCTAGGACACATAAAACATGGTTCAATTCTCAGCACCACATTAACCAAGTTTGTGTGTGTGTAGAAAAAGCCTGACAAGACTTCCTACCATGACTTTGCATTTCAGTTTTCTGCTGTTCATGTGCATAGATCGGTGCTTTTTGGAGGCTGAGTGTGTAGACCAGAGGTCAGCATTATCTTAGCTTTGTGTGGCCTTGGGTTTAATCCACAGCATCACAAAAAGTAATAAAGAAATAAAGCAGAATTCCCTGGTCAGTAAGGAAAGAAAAAGTAGGAATGAAGCTCACTTGTAAGGCACTTGCCTAATGTGTAAAGACCTGGGTTCGGTTTTCAAGACTGCCAAGCGTGGTAGCGCACACCTTTAACCCCAGCACTCGGGAGGCAGAGGCAGGTGGAACTTTGTGAGTTCGAGGCCAGACTGGTCTACAGAGGGAGTTCCAAGACAGGCAGGGCTACACAGGCTACACAGAGAAACCCTGTCTCAAAACAAACAAACAAACCCAAAATGAACAAACAAGATTGCAGATAATAATATAATAGTAATGCTTCCTATAAGGATTGATTGGTGTTTTCTTGAATGAGGAAAAAGATGTGTAGAGAGTGAAAGGAAGAGGTTGGCGTAGAGAGCATCTATGAACAGATGTTCCCGTGAGAATGAAGAAGGAGAAGAGGTTTTATGAATGGGATGACGGGATTGTGGGTACCGGTGGTCCTACTTTTCACACCTTGGCACTGTAGCTCTCTGTCCTAGGACAGATTCTGGTCTGAGAGTCTCATGACGTATCCCTGGCTGGCCTTGAACTCAATCCGCTTGCCTCCTCTCCCTGAGAGCTGGGATGTGCCACCTTGCCTGGCCCTAGCTCTCCCTCTTCTCTCTCACCCTGACGAGGACCCCATCGAACCCAGAAGACAAACTTCACCTACCTCCTCGTTGACCACGGACCCCTAGGGGTAGCCAGCCTGTCACAAAGAAAGAAAAGCGGTGTGAGCGACCCCGGCTCTCTCCACCATAACACTTTCATGAGATGAACCAGAATACAACGGAAAAATTGTGTATTATCTTTGTGATTTGTCCCTTTATATTTTGACACAAGGCCACTAGGCTATGCACAAAACTAATCAATCATTAAAAAAAAACAACAACACCACACTCCAGAAAGACAAGTTCTTGAGAACAAAGCCCACTCTTGTTCTGCCCTGACTCAGTTTCCCCTCTTGTCCTCCAATTCCAACCAGGCAGGGCCATGCGGTCTTTGCAGCGTGTCTTGCCGGAGCCCACAGCTCCTCAACCAGCTGCACCCCTGGGCAATGCAGAAGAATTGCTTTGTCAGCCTGCATCTGGCAGAAAGAGGGGGAAATACAGTAGCATTTCTTCAAAGTCCAGGGGTGCTTTCCGGGGCCGATCCTTGAGCTGGATTCCACGGCCCTCGTGAACACTGCTTTTCTTTTGTGTGGAGGTGCAGCCAGCGCTTCCCTCTCGTGTGTAAATACACTTGTGTGTCTGCCCAAGCAAGCGTGAGGCGTTAGCGTGCAGGTGTTTGCTGCTTTCCCTCGAGGATTTTTAAGGTGGTCCAATTTCCTAACAGGTGGTCTCTCCCTGTTTGAGTAACTTCTTGTCCCTTTGGTGTTGGTTGAGTTATGTATCTATATGCAACGCTCTTTCAGTGATGAGTAAGCACCTGCATTTTAACCTCCCGTTAGTTTCTTGGGTACCCCACATCTAAGGTCACCTCTCGTCACACCTTTGTCTTCCACGCAGCGTTATCTCCCCCCAGGCCCCAACAGCCTCGGTCCCCTACCATCTAACCCACAGCCCCGGCACATGCAGAGCTGAGGAGCTGCTGTGTTGAAGAATCAAAGCAGGGACTCACCGGAGGGCATAACGAGTGCCATGACCAGCAGCAGCGCCTTGGGCCCGAAGAACGGCATATCTAAGAGAGGCAGGGGAGAGTAAGACCACGATGCTGAGGGATGGCAGTGCCTCACTCGGGGGAAAGATGCCCTGTATCCCCTCTCCCTGCGTCACCCCCGAAACCTTCTTCCTTTCTCTTTTCAGCTCAGACCTTTTCTTATCTTTCACCCACCATTCATTTCCCTCAAATCTATCCTTTGACCCCCCGCCCCCTTACCTTTCTACAGAGAATGTTTTTCAATGTGAGTCTCCTTACATCGTCCAGGCTGGTCTTGAACTCTTGGGTCAAGCCACCCCCCTTTCTCAACCCACTGGGTAGCTGGGGATACAGGCATGTGACCAGGAGGATCTTTGTCTCCCATTAAACCATACTTGGCCCTGTCCTGTAGCCTCTTTCACTCTTGATACCTAACCCTCCCTTTGTGTGTCTGTGTCTTTTTAAGTATCATCCGGTCATCTCGGCGCACCCTCTCTTTTGAATTCCATGCATAATTGGGAGAGGGCTCCACTCTAAGTCAGGGACATTCTTTACCCTTACGTGCACACACGCACACGCACGCAGGCACACACAGTCATTCCTCCTATGTAGTTTTGTAAACAAACTCACTGTCTACAAGTGCTCCGCTCTGTCCACCGTGTCCTCTGGCTGCTGAATGTGTCTGTCCTTCTCACGCTTTTCCGCTGTTCCACTTGGGCTGGGAAATGAGATGAACAGAGCCACACCCTTGGAAGGACTTCAGATTTGGCCTATTCTGAAACAATGAGATGAGGGAGAGAAAAGGGGGGGAGAGAGAGAGAAAGAGAGAGAGAATGGGCCAGGCCAGAGGCTTAGAAAGCAGTGTTACAATAAGGTTGGAATGAGAAGGGAGATGGGAATTGGCAGTCCCTCACACCCTCATTCCTAAGGTTATGACCACACTGGAGAGGGAGCGAAGGGCTGGCCCAAGCCCACATCTGCCCTCCTTCCGTCAGCCCACTTTGCCTCTCGCTGTTTGGCCCAGCTTGCCTTTCTTCCTTGGGTTCCTGTTTATCGCTCGCCCTTGGCATGTTTTCCTGAATCTCACCAGACTGTTTCTATCTCTCTGGCTTCCTCCTGTGCTTAGATCATCACTCCTTTCTCTCTTCTCCCTCCTCTCTTTCCTTCTCGCCCCTCTTCTCCCTTCCTCCCCTCTCCCCTTCTCTCCACTCTCTTGTCTGAGTCGGGGTCGCTCAGGTTGACCAGGCTGATAGCGAACTACTCCCTCCCCATGCTCCCTGTGGAAGGCAAGATGTGCTGAAATGTCTGTTCCTCCAGCCTCCACCTCCCAGGCGTGTGCCACTGTGGTGTGCTGGGGTTCCAACCCAAGGCTTCACGAACGCTAGACAAGCCTTCCACTGAGTTACATTCCCAGCCCCTGTCTTCCTGGCTGACCTGGAACTTATTATGTAGACCAAGTCAGCCTCCAATTTGGGGTTATCCTCCTACCGAAGACTTCCAAGTGCTGGGATTACAGGCTTGCACTCCCATGTCTGGTCTTTGATGGTTGTTTTTTTTTGGGGGGGCGG